ATGTATATTTTTTGTTCATTTTTGGCTCTGCTCCTCCTGTTTGTGTCTTTTGGGATTTTTTTTTGTGATAAAGTGCCTTGAAGTGTGTGACCGTAACGTAGCAAAACGTGACAAGTTCGTAGATTATTGTCACCGTTTCACCATCCCTGTAGGTTTGTTTCTGCTCTCTGTGTCGTTTCTTCTGTCCTCATGAGCAAAATATTTATTAGCACGACATCTGTCTTCTGAATCGTGACATTTACACATTTGTTTCTCTCTTTCATCTGTAGCCGCTTTTCTTTTCCCTCTGTCTCTTTTTGAGCTTTCTTTTCTTCATTTGATTCTTTCTTCTTCCATTTGACTTCTGTTTTCTTTGTAAACAACTTCCCTAATAAAATCTAATTTCCTCCTCTTCCATTCCTTATATTCTTGTCTCTTTTGTTTTTCCCCCAGTTAATACGCTCACATGTTCCCACATTTTACATAAAAAGCACCCAAAATAACGAAAGTGCTGAAACTTAACATAGACATTTTGCTCACTTTGCCGTCTGCCCTTTTTAGACAGTTAAAACATGGAGACTATCTTTTCTGATATTATTATCTTTATGCTGGTCATATATTTTGTTCAGTGGAAAATAGTGCTGCAGCTTAACAGAGCTAACTCTCACAAGCTAATCTGATTCAGGATGTGTGGTGGGTTTTTAACTTCCTGTGTTGTTAGCATTCCTGTTCATTCACTGCACATTTCAGACCTAAATGTTAGTTTTGCTAAGGAATAAACCCCAGTGTTTGATTTCTCAACAGGTTTATAAACCTGCAGCTCATTGTGTCACATATGTTCAGGTAGAAGCACAGCTGAAATGGTCTTATTGTGAATTGCTGTACATCTAGAGTGTCTTTAGCGTATTTTCCGGTAACATAAAGCTTTCCTTTTTTACTTGTGCAGGTTCTGCTACCCTGCACGCATGGCAGCAGCTGGCTCAGCCACACATGGGGGCTCTGCTGGACCATCGGCCGGGCGTGGTCACAAAGGGCTTTCGCACTTTAGAGCAGGACCGGGAGCAGGAGCAGGAGGACAGCTGGCAGCTGGACCAGCCGGAGGAGGACGAGGCGTCGTGTGACCCGTTCACCGGCTCGTCAGGAGAGAGCCCCGCTCCGACAGGTTCCCTTTGCTCTACCGCCGTCGGCTCCGCCTGCTGCAACATCAAGGGCAGCAACCAGCTAGAAGGACTGAATGGAGCAATTTGTGGTCCGAAAGAGGCAGTGGAAGGAAAAGATGGAGTCGTCGCCAGAGTCGTCGCCGGCGCGCCCCTTCCCCTTTCCCGCCCTTCCCCGTCCTCACCCGTTCCCTCTTGTTCGGAGCGCAGCAGGCACACGGACCTCAAGGAGCTCCAGGCCCTGCAACCCGCCACTGTGGACCGCATGCCTGGTGAGGGAGCGTTTTAGCAGGAAAAGAGAAACCCAATGAAACTAAATCTGGAGCACGGGGAGAATAGAAGGAACGGGCAGAGGAAGACGGGTGGGAGGGTGGAAGGAGTGAAGGGAAGGCTTTCACTGGACGTTTCGCAGCTGTAACGTGGCAACACTTCCTGCATGATCACACTCAACCTCCGCTCGAGCCAGGAGCCACGCCTTATCCACACAGCCGTCCGCCTCCGTCCAAGCAGAGTACTTTTTTTTTTTTTTGTACTTTTTTTTTCTTTTCTCCTTCTCAGTTTCTCCTTTTCATACGCCGCCTTTGCTTTGCTCTCACTTCCTTCAGGGCCTGGCAAGTTTCTCAAACCAAAACCTGCAAAGTTCTAAAAATGTAACAACAAAACAAAAAAAATGAGAGTTTGAACATGACTGACGCAGTGCAGAGATACAGATGTATCATCGTATCTGGATCCAGTTTGCTCGCTGGCTTGTGTGCGCGCGCCAAGGCTGCATCAGGTGTTGCGACCGCAGCTGTTCTGTGTCACGTGAAAGCGCGACGCTCGGAGCTGCTCGGAGCTAATTCAGCAGCTCTGTCAGAGGGTCACCTCTACCAGCTCGCACACACACTAACCCTGACCTGAGCACGTTTGGTCTTTGACAATATCTGCATGTAGCTGTGATCATTTGAGATTCATTTAGAGAATGCAACTTTCATCTGTTTCTTCTTCATCCCTTCATTTTCTATCCTTGCTTCACTCGAATCTTCGAATCTTGATTCGGAGGGGGAATTTTTTTTTTTTCTTCTTGTTTTTTATTTAATTGCTTTCGATTTATTTGCATTTAACTTGAATGCAGGAGGTCAGCTTTCAACAACTGAGAAGATCATTAGATGTTGAAATCAGTTGAAAAATACAAAAGCGGGGCTAATTAAAACTGGTGCTTTCGCCTGGGGTCTGAACTGTGACTGCGATCTATTTTCCCCCTTTCTTTACGACATGCAGTTTTACAGTGTATGATTTTTGGTGCATTTTTCATCACGGCTGACGGAATTTTATTTTGTTCTCCTCCTCCAGTCCATTTCCCAGGGAAATGTCTGTCCCACACCAGCTCCACCTACACCTTCACCACCTGCAGGATTCTCCACCCGTCTGACCAGCTGACCTCTGTGTCCCCCAGGTAACGTAACACCCAAATATTTACCAAAGCGCACTTTTTCAGCCGGATTTTTTTTTTTTTTTTTTTTTTTTTGGGTTCCTTAAATATTCACTTCAAATCGCTGTTAATTTACACAAATTAAATGGAGCTGGACGCTTCTCTCTCGTTTTTTTTTTGTTTTTTTTTTTCTTCGAAACACATTTTGGTGTCACAGGAGGTCGCTCAAGTGTTTGTGTCCCTGCTGTGTGATTGGCTCGACAGGTCATGTGATGAGGAAGACGAGCCGGAGCTGTATCACATAGCTCTGCTGGCAGGATTAGAGCAGACCCATTGAAAGCACTGTTCAGTGTGCAGATGGGTGAGAACGTGCATGGCTGTGCATCTCTAAAGACCTTGTGTGGGTGTGTTTGAACCTGAGTAACGTCAGGGTTTGCCTCTAAATCTGCTCTCTAATCCAGTGTGCACAAGCTTCTTTTTAAGATGGATACCGATAATTACGAAATAATAATTACGAAAACAGTGTTCAGGCCTGTTAAAATCTTTTGGGACGAAATGATTACAGAAAGTTCAAATCCAGTTTGAGAAAGCATTTGTCGTACCCACTGACTTTCCACTGAATGTTTTTTAATTGACTTTTGCCTTATTTTGTAACGAGGTTTGGAAATTGCTGAAAAACAAAAACAAAACAAAAAAAAAAATGCTACATTGCAGACACCTCAAAATAACAAATATTTTAATCATGCTTGAAATCTAATGATTACGGAGTCGGAACGAAGCTCGACACGATCGCTGCGCTGCTGTCGATGTTTCTAGCTCAGAAAATATCAGTGGGTTTGCATGCAAGTTTCTCTAAACCTACTTTGTTTAAACTAAAATGAGTCGTGCATGTTTTGACACGTTGATGCAGTTTTTACTAAAAGCTGTCAGACATCCGTGGTCTTTTTGAGCAAAAGTGACTTCTCACTTATTGGCCTGTGAAATTAGAAGTTAATCTTTTGCTTTTTGATAAATTTTTGCAGCTTGACCAGTCTTGATATGTGAAGTGACACAATACTGTACACACTGGATAATAATTTAATATCTAAGCTGGTAGGAAGGACAGAAAATGAGTGAGTCTAGAGGAGCAACGTATGCAGAGATGTGGTGTGAACACGAAGGCTGCAGGAACTGGATGAGATGCAGGCAGATGAGCAGCTGTGTTGAGCCCCGAAAGGGAGAAAGACCGTCTGTGGTTTTGTGCAGATCGAAGACATTGAATTTTTTTTTTTTCTTTCCAACCTTTACCAGCCTTACAAGCTTTATTTTTGAAGAACGTCTGTAGTAGAGATCAAAATGTTTTGATCAATTTGTGCCCCACAGTTTTTGTTAGGCCTTGCTGTTTTTCTCTACTATATCATAAGAAGGTATTCTCACTAAAATTCATTGGAGGATTTGCAGAAAAGCCTTTCAGAAGAAGAAGAAGAAAACTCACAGTGCTCTCTGTTCCTCAGTTGTTAAGCAGATGTATTATGGTGATTATTAATAAATCGAGTTCATCTGTTTCTGAACTCGAGCATTTTTCACCTGATGACTGTCATTTATGCCTTCTTTTCTACTTTTCCTCTCCTCTTTACGCCTCCAGCCTTGCGGTAGTGTTTTGCCAAAGCGGCTCTGCCATCGGCACTCCGACCCACACCTCCTCTCCCGTGCCGTTCTCGGCCCCGCACACGCCCTCCTACACCCCCTGCTGCACCCCGCGCCGCCTCTCCCTGTCGCTCTCCCTCAGCGAGTCCTCCACCAACTTGAGAGACTCCACCAAGACCACCAGCACCTCCCTAGGCCTCGTGCGCCTCCTGCTGGAGCGTGGCATTTCTGCCTCGGTGTACGATCCTTGCAGCTGGGACCGAGGGCTGGGTGCCAGCGGCGCTTCGACGCCCACGGGAAGCGTGCAGGTGCAGAGCGACGCAGCCAAGTCAGGGGAGAATGAAGTCAGACCGCCGGTGAGGCGACCGGACACGCTCCTTCTTCAGCCCTGCTCCCCTCCCAGCTCCCCGCCCCAAGAATCTGCCTCGGCCGCCACGGCGCGGCCCGCGTTTCAGTTCAGCCCTTCGAAGGAGGATCCGCCGTATTACGACGCCTTCCTCGCCTCCAAGCCGGCTCGCACCATTCTGAGGGAAGTGCTGATGGATCTGGAGAGAGAGTACGACGGCGAGGCGGACGAAGACGGCCAGAACGAGGTGGCGAACCTCGGACTGGTGGACAAGCTGAAACGCTTCCGAACGCTCTCCGCTGTTTCCGCCTCGGTTTCCTCCGGGAGCGGTCTGTTGGCGCCCTTCAGCTCCAGCGGCCTGGGTGGCGGGCTCCCGGGTTTGAATGCAGGACTGAGGAGGAACCGAAGCTATCCGGCCATGGTGGGGGCCAGCATGGCCATGAAAGACCCCGGCGGACCGCCCTGCGCTCTCATCCCACAGACGATGCAAACATCACAGCCACAGGGTCCGGCGCAGACAGACGAAACGGGCAAAGTGCAAACACACCCCTCCGTTGTCAGGAAGGCCATTCACATACCGCAGACTTTACACGCACTGGAACCAGTCACACCACACACGGTAATGCAGAGACACGCCAGGCCAAACTGGGATTCAGACAATTCAGCAACACAAGGCCAAGACAGTGAGGGTCAAACCAGGACGTGGTAGGAAAAACTCAGTATGTCAGGCCAAAATCACAGCGTTTTACTACACTTTTCATGTTTATCATTACACACATACAAATACAAAGCCAAAAAATATGTTTAGCGCACACATCGTCTGCAGAAGCCGACCGGTACAATCCGCCCTTATTTCCCCTGACAGCCAGTAGTCTGAATAAAATGTCGGAGTGACGACTGAGAGCAGGAGTGGCTGAAACTGTTACACTGTGTTATATTTAAATACTGTCTGGCCAGATTAACAAAGATGGAGTATGCTGCCTTCCTTTGTGTCATTATTGTACAATGTACTGTATATGCAATATACTGTGGCAAATAGTATATTATTAAAGCCCCAGTCTGGAGTACTTTACCATGTGACTGAATTCATATGGAGACGCACCGGTTTCTGTGGCCGCTTTGCAGCCAACGTCCTTGAGCTGGTCCAGCGTACTTGAACCAAACAAATAGCTCATTCCCTCTGGCCAGCTGACCAGACCGAGACCTTTAGATGAACTCTGAGACGACCAACATCTCCGATTTCAACAGCAGTTTTCAGCAGTCAGAGGGTGAAAACTAAAATGGATAAAAAAGAGAAATTTTTCTGAATTCCCTTCAGCCTCTTCGTGTCATAAAATATAGTTTCCTTTTCAATATCTTCTTACATCTTTGTACTTCCTACGGTTCAAATTTTTTATTTTTTTTAACACATAAGCTGATGCCGAAACCAGATGACTTAGATTGCTCTTCTCGCGTCGTTGCCAGCACAACACGGTCGTGTTTGTGCTGGTTGTGTTCGTTAATCGGAGGAATGATTGGACCGTCGCATTTCCGACCAGCTCATCGAGCTAAAAGTCATTGGACTATGCTCACCGGACGACCTCCCGGTGTGTCTCTCATTATTTAACGTGACTGGCTGGTCTCGCCAAAGCCTATAAATGTCGTCAAATGTTTTCCTTTAAAAATGTTTCATTGTTTCATGAAGCAGTTTAGGCTATTTTTAAAAGACTCTAAAAATGGCTGTGTTTGCATTTTTCTGCGCTGAAGTTGAAAAGGAGGAAAATGTCTTTTCCTCCTTTTCTGTCTTTTGTTTAAAGAAAAGAAATCCAGATTGGGGCTTTAAGATATCTTGTTGCTGTGACTGAATGTTCTTATGTGCCTAAAAACAAACACACTGTATTTCATTAGAAAACTGATTGCATTTGTTGTCCTTTTGTTTGCATTTTGTTTTGCTGTGTGCAATAGACATGACTTTAATTGTGCAATCCAGCGGTTTGCATGAGATTCGGTGCATTCTTCTCATTTCAGATGTATGTTTTTATCTTTTTTTTGTTTTAAGTCCTCATAAAATGTTGGATTCTACGGGAATAGAGTAAAGCTGTTGTTCAATCTGACGAAGTCCCAGAATAATTTCCCTTTTTTTTTTTTTTCTTCATTTATTTAGCTTGATCTGTCCATATGCATCCAGGCAGTAAAGGATAAAATTTATGAATGTAGGTATGGGAGTTTCACAGATGAAATGAGCACAGACATGGCGGTTGAGCAAAACATGCAACTTCAGCACAGCTGGAAACAGATCTTGCATTTAACCCTCAAAGCTTTTTTTTTTTTTTTTTTTTTTTTCCCAAAGCATTTAGTTTTTTTCAATACTGTCCACCTTGTATCTCCAAGCAATGTCCATAATTTACTCAGTTCGGGTCAAACGGCAGAGAGCAGTGAAATCTGAATCCTGCTGATCCTGTCTCTGCAGAGTTGATCAGTTCAATCTTTAATTTTTTTGCTCCGGTTCGATCCACAGAGCAGAGCCGCCCGTTCTTAAAATTCTGGTTTGACTACACCTGAACGAGGGGCGACTGATGCTCACGTTTGTAAAACGAGTCGGTGAACTACACGGTGATCCCGACACGCAGCGTTTCAGACTTTTACACAGATCAACATTTAGGTTGCTGTTTTCACGAGGCGTTTCGATGCGTAATCTAGGTTTGGGCATTGTACCTGGACCAAGAAGTTGTAGCTTGTTTCGTAAGTCACGCAAGTGACAATTGCACATCTTTAAAGTGAAGGATGTTTCAGGTTGTGTTTATTTTAGTGTCATGTGGAATCACCTTTACTGTACGGTTGAAATCCTTCATACTTTAGTGGCTTTTAGAATAATTTCTCTTGCCGCCAGGGGCTTCGATTGTTCGCTGTTTCTGCCTTCAGCAGCAGCACATTTTAAGAAAAATAAAACAACTCAATATTTCGGAGGAGAAGAATGGAGCGGTAGTGTTGGTACGACAGCAGGTGTCTTAATGTAATTTTTGTGCCACGCCATCCGAATGTAAGTTATTATTCAGCTTCCAGGGCCATTGTACAGATTTCTGTCTGATTTAATCATTTCACTGTAACTGTATGCAACACAAACATGTATAATTTTGAAATATAAATATATATATATATAAAGTATGGTTAAAAAAATTTAATAAAGGTGAATAGTTTATATAGGATTATAGGGGAATATGTTCTAGTCAGAGACTGGTGGGCTCTATTTTATAAAACATGTCCAACTGTCAATAAAATATAAAATAAAGATTTAATTGTTGTCTTTATACTTTGACTTTATTCTGTACATCCGATGATGTTCAGCTCCTCTCAGCTATAAAGGGGCAGTACTGTGTTGTTTACATTTAAAACCACAGGTAACTGTATTAACTAAGCATAATTAACATGGTAACTATGTTAGTTACTGTGTTATCTAGTAAATTTTAATTTAAACTCTTAACATTGGGCCTCTTTAAAACCTCCTGCTCTTTCTGAGACTCCACCTTCATAACAGCGTTCCCCTATCAACCATTAAACGACATTTTTACCAGCACTGCACTGAGAAATGGCTCGTATAATGAGCTCAGCAAATGTGCAGTTCCACCAGGTGTTTGCTAATTGCTACTGGCTAGTCTGAAGGAGCTGAGCAAGGAAGGCCTGCTCTGTGAGGTGAAAGCACGAAAGTTTTGGAAACTTTAGCTCCGAAGATGAGCTGCGTATCGAAGGCGGGAGTAGGTCCAACCAGGTGTTTTGCACGGCTGAGTGGTTGCCATGGGAGATTAAAGTATTTCTCAAATATGTATAACATAATTAAAGCAAAGTTTCTTATGACTGAATGATATTATAATTGACTTAAAGTTCAGAAAAAGTACATTTTATATAATTCTGTCTCTTTATATATATATATATATATATATATATATATATAAAATATGAAGCTAGTTTCAAGGTAACTGTTACTTTATCAAATTTTATAATATCTACTAAAAGTGATTTTTGCGAAATGCTTTCTTGTCTGTTGTACTGACAGCTGTTTTCCACTGGGGGGCACTGTGTCCAAACCACATGCAATCCAAAGCCTGGAAGCGGAAGTAGACCTAATTTAAGATATTTGTATTGATGTATTTTAAGGGTTTTTACAAACACAATTAAATAAATTTACGTCATGAATAATACTTATTTCATTCTTGAAAATCATAATAGAGATTAGAGGAGAAGAACCAGAAGCGTTCAATGGAAAGCTTGACAACTCTCTTCCTCTCTGGATGATGGAAACAGGATGAAGACAGATGGGTAAGCAGCGCAGAATGATTTCAAATTTGTTTTCGGTGCTTGGAGGAAGACGGGCAGGTGTGTCTCCTACATGAGGAAAATGAGAACATTCTGCAGAGCTGAGTCAGATGGAAAATAAGACAAACCTTTTTTTTTTTCCTTGGGTTCCTCAAGATAGCTGCATCTAAACCCAATGTACATTTAAAGAAATAAATAACAAGAAAACAAAGTCCAGAAATCACAGAGAAAACATCTAAAGTACTTTAGTTTTATCTGCTTAAATTTTGTGCAGGCAGGATTTCCATGTCCCCCTTCAGCTGATGTGAATGCGATAGAGGCCAGGACTCTTTGGCACAGAGCAATTACCAGCTCCTTGGAAAAGAAGGTCACTTCAGAGACGGGATGTGTGATTATAACCTCGGAAGCTGACCAGCTGCATCCCTCTGCGGTCAGCCCTTCACATAAAGAAGATGGTTAGCGCTTGAATAATTGACCTGAGGTTCTGCCAGAAAACTCAAATACGGCCTTGAACGTCTGCTTAGGTGGGGGAGGATTTACTGGGTTACTTGACCAATTTCTGTAATTTACACTCTCTGTTAAAGAAATTATAGTCACCAATTAAACTTGCATTTTATTAAAAAAAAAAAAAAAAGTTCAACAGTAAACTCCTTAATATCAGTCCAAGAGTAGTCAAACCATTGCAGACTAAGACCTGCATATGTGTGATTTCTGTTTGCTGTTTTAAAGTTTCTCACATACAAAATTAAAGCATCACAATTTGTTGCTACGGTCATGGAAAAAAGTTAATTAAAAAAAACCTTTTGAGGCAAGAAAGAAAACGAGGATCTGTACATTTTGATTTCATTTGATTCTCATCTCAAAAATATGTCAACATACATTAAATAGAAAACACAAGCATTTTTTTTCAACAAAAACGTAGGTTTTTATTAAATAAAAATGTTTTTATTGTGAAATTCGGCTATTCTGAATTAGCTAAATTAAGTTATGTTTCACTTAATTTAGCTAAGAAAAGCAGCAGACAGAGAGTTATGGGAAGTTAAAATCAGATTACACGTCATCACCACTGTGAAACATGGTAGTGGTAGTATCATGCTGTGGAGACAGGGTAAACCTGTTCACATGCATGACAAAAGTTTGATTCATTTTAACATTTTAAAACAGATCTTTAAAAAAAAAAAAAAAAAAAAGATCCTAACAGAGTCTAAATCAGGCAAACAGGGATTATCTTGATTTACTTAATCCCTTCATGTTTGACATCCAGCATAAATCTTTGAAACTTAAACTATGCCCATTCTCAGATCCAGGTGTAAAACCTAAAAACTAATTTTGTAATGTCTGTGATTATTGTTCTGTTGGAATTATATTCTTAGGCCCAGTTACCAACTCCTCTGAGTTTTGTTTACCTTAAATTTCCCTTAAGGCAGCTCCAGGCCAGCCGTCTGCAGCATGAGCTGTTTATTTATAGACACTGCATGATTTTAAAACCAGTAAACAACGCAATGATGAGGAAACACATTATGGAGGTTTTTCATATCACTTTTTAGGTTGAATATATTCAATATTATCATTTAAAAGGACAATAAATATCAGTTTTAGTTCTGAAAACAAAGTGGAATTTTCTTTTAAAAAGCAATGTCTCTTGAATAATGTATGTGGGAAGCAGCCATTTAGAAAAGTGGAGAAATTTCAACCAAAAGCTGCATAAGATGAAAAAAATGGGTTAGATATTTTCTGGCTTTAAGAGTTTTAAAATGCATTCACTCAAGTGCTCATACATACATTTCATGATTTCATAGCTCAAAAACTACTGAATATACTTAACGGAGATGGACTCAGCTTGATAAAGAGCAACTTTTGTGAGTATTTGTACAACTTTAAAATATAGTTTCCATTTAACGCTGAATGCAAATGTTTTTAAAATGAAATACTAGTAAAATAACCCCTACTGAATTCCTTGGAAATGTGTTTTAAAGGTCCATTTAATTCATGAATAAATGTCAAATTGTAAAATATAGAGGAAAAAATACAGAAACAGTAGCAGAGTGTAAGTAATCAAGGTTATAAAGTAACCAACACTTGTTCATTTTGAATTCAAATTATTTAAAGCTTTATTGTTCACAAGTGGGGCATTACAGCTTTTGCCATGAGCTCTGAGCTTTATTTTGAAATTGCTTCGGGTTTATTTCAAGCGTGACGCACACAGAGAGACTAAAAGAGAAAGGAGGAACGCTTTGCTCTCGCTCACTCTCTTGCAGGATAGTTGAGCTTCCTCTGACTTCTGTTTTCGAACCTCTTTCATTCTGAGAACAGCCAATAGTCGGTCAAGAGTGTCGTCAGTGTGACGTGGCAGCAACTCACCTTTTTGTAAAAGATCTCAGCTGAAGGGTTTCTGTTCATAATCAAACTTCTGATTCTTGTCACCGACTGGTTTCTGGTCAAATCTGCATTTATCTTTTTGTTTTATTTGATACATTAGGCACATACAATCTTAAAGTATCATTGTACATTTCAGACAATCTTTGCAAACAAACATAAACATTTTTAACAGACGTCTTTGTTTATCTTGTCACGTCATTTTCTGAACATGCCAATTCTTTACCACCTGTTCAGTGAATGTCATTTAATAAATAGAAATTGGAAATTCAAACCTCCTAAATGATGAGAGAGACATCAATTTAACCAGCAAAGTGAGGTTTCCCACCTTCACCTTTCTGATTGTCGGAGCGTGAGCCGGAAACGCTTTTCAATTCATTCCAGCAGCGACGATCCTTCATGTGATCGCCAGCGCTTCCACAAGGGACAACAAATTGAGAGTTAATGTCTTTCACTTCGGGGGGTCCTCTTAATTGTAGACGGTGTGAGGAAGGCCCTCCATTCCTCCCACCCCGGCTTTAATCATCACAGCGTCGAGACATTTTTAGCTTTTAACAAATACGTACATCAAATTATCAGAACCTGCCAGACAGCAAATTGGATCAGATCAAATGAGGTGGGATTGCATTTGCTCTCGGTGAGCTGGTGAAATGTCGGCTGACCTTTTCTCCTGACAACCTCTGACATTTTGGGTGAGAGATTATGGGGGCTCTCTGAAGCCCAAACACCCCAAAAACACATCTTACTCCGCCCGTCGAAGTGGGCCAGAGTAATTATTTTTAATCGTTAAAGCTTTACCTAAACAGGTAGAGAACTGCCCCCGTCATGAAGCTTTTCGGCGCGCTATCTAACGAAACAAAAAAGTTTGTCAGAGTTCCTCCCGTCTGTTCCACACGATCTAGGAGAACCTGTGACAGTTCTTTGAGTTTAATCGGCCTCCGAGTCTCTTGAACTGCTCCCAGCCTGACTCCGTGATGCTGTGATCAGAGGCCTGTCGGGGCCCCGCCATCTGCTGCAGGTCTGCTTGTTATTGTGGCTGAGGACAGCTGTTTATGTCTCTGGCTCATCATCATGAGCTGCTGAATGAAGCTGGGAATGATAAGTTGCTCCCTGACGGGGCGACTTGCTGGAAAACTTTTTAACAATGTGGGAGCCAATCAGTCGGATCCGCTTGCACGACAAAAGTCTCCAAACCGGTGACTCAAACCACGTTTAATTGTTTTTTACATTTTGTGCAGATGTCTGGCTTAGATTTGTTTTAGTTTAGTTTGGCCCGCTTTGGGTTTGTGTCTTGTTGCCTTTGACTTCACTGTGTGCAGCGTCTTCGTCTTTCCCTCCAGTCCCTCCACATCTCTTCTGAGATTTCCCACCTCCAAAGATTTGTCATCATTTCAATCTCCAGCATCGTCTTCAGGTCAGCTATCCCGCCTTAAATTGTCTTCTTAAGGCTTCAGAGCCGACATGCGGTCATACACCGTCTGGGAAGTCTTTATCACGTCCCACTTTAGAGTGTCACGATGCTTCATCGGCAAGGTCATCTTCTAAACCAGCGCCTTCGCCATCAACCCCAGGGCAGCCTTCATCCCTTGAGCACCGTTACCATCTTCCTCACAGAGGTTCGGTCTTAGCTCGTGACTTCAGAGTCTGAACCGTGTTTAAGTTCAACTAAATTCGATGTCGACGGTTCTTTTGAGCTCATGTCACCGGATTGATGTGACGGGTTGTTCCTGAACCTTCTCACCTATTCCCTTTCATTTGAGGATGGCAGTTTGTGTTAAATGTTTAATACTATTGTAATTCATTCAGACCTTTGGGTAAGTTTAGAAATAAAAGTGCATGGAAACTTCTGATTTTAACTCTGTGCGTATCTGTACTTTTAGCGCTTCTGAAATATTTGGTCGAAGCAGCAGGACGCTCTATGATCACTCAGATGACAAATATGTGACACCAAGTCTTTCAGCTTTGATGTAGCAAAAAAAAAAAGAGGCAGAATTCCACAAGAACCCTTTTTCACAATAAAGTAGATTTTAAACCTTTTACTCAAAAATATGAGTTTTTAGGAAGCTCCTTGGTGAAACCAAAGGCAAATGGCGGCAGCATGCGTGTTGCGACGGATCCGAACTCAGAAGTTTGCTTCAGACCTCTGGGACGGAACCAGCTCAGGTTAGCAAACATACCAGGGCCTCTAATTGGGAATGTGACAGTGATGACATTTCCAGCACAAAGCTATATTTAGCCGCCTCCGCTTGCATCACCTGCGTCATCGGAGGGATGTAGAACAAGATGACATGACATGAAGATGTCGTGTTTATTTATCTGTCTGCGCCTGTCTTAGAGAGGCAGATTTTGTTTATATGAATAAAGTGTTCGGACATTATCGCACAAAACGACTGCTGCGGTTAACCATACAGCCTTTGTCTCTGTTGCACGTTGCTATAGCAGGAGACACAAAGTTGGACATGTGTGAATTATTCAGTTTGGAGCAAAAGATGAGAGAAGCAGGCAGAACAGAAAGGTGTCATTGCTTTAAAAGCATTGCCAGGATTAATTATGGTATAGGTGTGTCTGTGAGTTGAAGTACTCGCAACGTTGCACGCATATTTAATACAAACGTTGCTTTAGAGGTTCTAGATAGTTCTAGATTGCAGTTGCTTGTTTTAAGATTCGACGAAACACAGCTGGAAAGACATTTATCTCCCAAAGATGCGGCTTTAATAAACAGCCGCAAGTTTTTTTTTAAAAGTTTGCAGAAATGCTTTAAATGCAAATGTCCCAGAGCAAAGCTGCTGGACGGCCCTATAGACACGTCTGGCAGAGTGACAGCAGGGCTGCCGGGGCCGCGCTGATGGCCCTTGACAGCCGACTCACAAGTGTGAAACGGCAACAGGAAGCTAAGGATTGGGAACAAGAGCAGAGGCTGCACAACGGAAGAGGTTTTTATGAGTCAGTGTAGCATCAGCTTGGTTTAGTTTAGAGGGTTTGCATGTACACACAGCTCTGGAGAACATTAAGAGACTCCACTGCACTGAAAACCTCCTGGTTATTCCACCTAACACTGATTTCTGAACTCTTCCTGAGTGAAAATATTATTGTTGTTTCTAAATGAATACAAACTTGTCTTCTTTGCAGTATGTTGTCAGTAGTTCATCTGTAATTCCCTCAAGTCAAGAGATCTTTAAAAAAAAGTTTAAACTAAGTTCTGAATGACAAACTTCAACAGAGCACAGCTCCAAGTACAGTAGAGCAGGTTTGCCTTTTGATTCGTTTGAATCAAAAGGCTTTCATTCAAATGAGGTTGGGATATTTTTTTGTTTATACAGTCAAGATTTTAAGGCTTTCTTACATCAAAAATATGATTTAACATGCACTTCATGTCATGTTATGGTGAGTTGAAGGACCTAGAAATAGGCATGATAAAGGCAGAAACAAGATTTTGGGGATTTATTGAAACAAGCAAAGTGAAAAACAGTCAGACTCACAGGGATTAATGCTGCAGTTTCAAAATAAACTCTGCATGAGGTAACATGAAACTTAACAAACAACCACAAGATTATTCAACCACAATAAAGTTGTAAAAATGTCATTTTTGTTAAAGGCAAAAATAGGCTCAGTTATGAGAAAGGTGTTGTTTTAAGAGCAAAATAAAAAGCTCATGAAGTACTGAAGATACTGACCAAGCAGTCAAGCTGACATAGTTCAAAGGTCATCTTCACTACCAGCCACGCAACAATACTCGCATCAAAAATCTAATATTTTACGCCGTGGTCATTACGTGCAGAGGAAAAGAGGTTCAAGTATCTCTTTATATGTAATATTTGTCAAGGTTTTCTTTGCGGTAACTACTGTTGCATAGAGACCAGAATAACAGTAAACACACGCCCAGTAATTGAATAATAATGACATTATAATAGCTTTATTATATGTTTGCATTACCAACATGAACACGACCATCTCCATAAAGTGTACTTAACGCCTATACCTGAAGCTTTTTGGTTTTGATATCTGCCGTTTTTATTTGGTCGTTGCATTTCACGGCCGCTCAGCTCTGTGTGCTTTACACTCATTAGCCACACTTCTCTGTGTAGGACGGGCCTCTTTTATGGCTCCCACCTCCTGTGGACACGTCCCGATGTTTTATTGCTGCCCGTAATGGTCAACAGCAGAAGGGGAAAAAAAAAAAAGGAAAGAATTAGAACGACACAGAGTCACAGACCTTCAGCCAGTGTC